ACCTATGCCATCAGGTACCTGGTGCCCAGCACAGGGCTCTCCTGCAAGAGCCCAGAGTGTCACCACTCCAGCTGCAACCAGGGACTGTTCCCATCTCACAGGATGGTTCTATTTTTCTGTAGGAAATTTGTGGAAGAGAAAATGGGAAGCAAGTATGTGAAAGGAAGGAGCACTGATCTCTCTGAGGTGTACAAGGAGAGCAGCCCCTCCTCGCCCCTGTTCTTCATCCTCTCCCCCGGTGTTGACCCTCTGAAGGATGTGGAGGCTCTGGGTGAGGCACTGCCCATCCCAGACTGGCCCCAGCCCCGCTGGCCAAGCAGCCAGAACTGCAGGAACCCACTCAGTGCTGATACTGACTGCAGACACTCCCCTCGCAGGGACGAGGCTGGGATTCACCATTGACAACGGGAAGATCCACAACGTATCCCTGGGGCAGGGCCAGGAGGTGGTGGCAGAGCACGCCATGGAGGTGGCAGCTACCGAGGGCCACTGGGTCATCCTGCAGGTGGGTGGGGGCAGTGGGGCTCAGCACAGGGCACACAGCCCTGACAGCGACTGGGCACACAGTCCTGCCAGTCCAGCATGCAGGGTCACCCCGCCAGCAGTGGCAGTGACACTGCCTGGGCTGGCTGGCTGTACCTAGCACCTTCTCCCTCTGGAGCCACAGTAGGAATCGGGGTGGGGGGAAGTGAAATTGTCAAGGTGCAGAGAGTTTCTTTTGCAGAACATCCACCTGGTGGCACGGTGGCTGAGCACACTGGAGAAGCTGGTGGAGCACCACAGCCTAGAAAGCCACCCCGAGTACCGACTGTTCATGAGCGCCGAGCCAGCGCCCAGCCCCGAGACACACATCATCCCGCAGGGGCTGCTGGACAACTCCATCAAGATCACCAGCGAGCCGCCCACGGGCATGCGTGCCAACCTGCACGGAGCCCTGGACCTCTTCAACCAGGTACCCCTGTACTCCTGGGGCCGTTCTGGGCTCCAGGTACGGCTCATCCCCTCCTGGGCTCCACAGGCTGAGCTCCACACCTCGGGGGTGTCTCTGCTGCCAAGGACACCGCACCTGGAGCCAGCCCTTGCCAGCACATCCTCCTGGAGTGCCCAGGGTCCCCCTCTGGCAGGGGTTTAGGGGTAACCAGAGCTGCCCGAGGGTTTCCAACACAAGGAAGTGCCAGGTTGCCAGTGCCTTTCCTGAGGCTGAACCTGGAGCTGCTGCAGCTTTGCCATGAACAAGCTGCCTCAGCTGCCAGCAGAGCATAAGGGTGTGAACTCCTAATTCCTTCATAAACAAATGAGTGCAAAAATTACCAACTAGGAAATCATTAAAATACAATTGTGTGCCTTTTGTTTCTAATGAACACTTCCCGTTCTCTTTTGCCTATGCATGTTCTTCATGAGAGGGGCATCTGATGGCAGTATTCAGCTGCAACCCACCCTCACTGTTCCTCTGCAGGAAACCCTGGAGCAGTGCAGCAAAGAGTCAGAGTTCAGGTGCATCCTGTTTGCCCTTTGCTACTTCCACGCTGCGGTGGCTGAGCGGCGCAGGTTTGGGACCCAGGGCTGGAACAGGTCCTACCCCTTCAACAACGGCGACCTGACCGTCTCTGTCAACGTCCTGCAGAACTACCTGGAGGCCAACGCCAAGGTGAGGGATGACGAGGGGACTGCTCCTCAGCACAGCACACGCTGCAGCAATCGGTCTTGCTTAGAACATTCACCAGTTTGCAGCGCAAACATCATCTCATGAAGCCCAGGGTCAGAAGCAGCTCCTCCCCTGCTCCCTGCACGCTCAGGCAGGGGAAGGGGACGAGTACTCAGCCTGACTGAGATGGCTGAAAAAGGCATCAGGCACCAGCCAGGCAAGTGCCTACCCTGGCCCACCTGCCTGCTCTGACCCATGCCTTGGTGTTGGTGGGTGGTTCCACCTAAAAAGCAAAGCCCACCCCAAGAATGCAGGTGCAGTGAGCAGGGCTGAAGTCTCACCTTTAGACCTGCCCTCACGGATGTGATCAGTGCTGGTTGGAAAAAAGGCAGGATTCAAACCACAGATGGCTATGATCATAGTGGGACAAGGAGAAATCTGCCCCTCTTCCCAAGCCTCTGTGGGTCCAGGGACTGTCACCTCCCTGCACAGGCCAATCCTGGAGCCATCACTCTGTGGTTGCATGGGGAACTCCCAGGGACAGTCGCAGCTTGAGCCTCTCTGTGCAGGTCCCGTGGGACGACCTCCGGTACCTGTTTGGGGAGATCATGTACGGGGGGCACATCACGGATGACTGGGACCGCCGGCTGTGCCGCACGTACCTGAGCGAGTACGTGCAGCCCGAGATGCTGGACGGGGAGGTGTCCTTGGCTCCAGGGTTTATGATCCCTCCCCGCATGGATTACGAGGTAAGAGACATTGCAATCTTCTCTAGAAAACCCCTGCTCTGGAAAAATGGGCATGAGCCCATGTCCCTCTCCCTCACCAAGGGGAACGTAGGGAGAGAGTGTCAGTCCCCCGGGAATGTGCAGAACTGCTGCAAAAGTAATTCCTGTGGTTGAGATGGAAAGGGAAAAACCTGGCTGAGACACAAGTTTAAAAAGAGCCTCCGTGCCCACGGGCAGGTGCTGTGAAGGGCCCCAAGAGTGGTGATGGGTTTTCAAGGTTGCAGGGAACTTTGGGCTCCTTTGCCTGCACTTCCAAGCTAAGGCTGGCCCTGACCCTGTGCTCAGGCCTACCACCAGTACATCGATGACAACTTGCCAGGAGAGAGCCCCCACCTGTATGGCCTGCACCCCAATGCAGAGATGGGTTTCCTGACCGTCACCTCGGACAGGCTCTTCCGCACAGTGCTGGAGCTGCAGCCCAAGGAATCCGAGGCTGCCGGAGGCTCGGGTGTCTCCCGAGAGGAACAGGCGAGTCAAGTCCTTTATGGCAGAAATTAACTCATTTTTTTAAGGTGGGGGAAAGTAATTACTGTAGGAAAAAAACCTCTTAAGGGTGACAACTGAGAGGCTAGAGAGGGGAGGCAGATACAGGTCTGGAGACAACTGAGAGAGCAGGCCCATAGCAGGAAGGAAGGGATAGCAGAGGGAGGGGATTCCAGCCCTACTACAGCTTTTTAAGACCCAAGAGAGTTAATAGCAGTGTTAGTAACAGAGGAGGAGGTACAAAGAAACACCAGGGCAGAAAAAGAAAAAAATCTTACCAACTTAATTAATGGAATCTGCAGCATTTTCTCTGGGCAAGAGCAGTTTATGGCATTCTCATTTCAGGTGAAGGCAGTCCTGGATGAAATCATCCAGCAGCTGCCAGACCCGTTCAACATGGAGGAGATGATGGGAAAGGCAAAGGAAAAAACCCCATACACGGTTGTAGCCCTCCAGGAGTGTGAAAGGATGAACATCCTGACCAACGAGATGAGGCGCTCGCTGAAGGAGCTGGACCTGGGACTGCAGGTACGCAGCAGGCGGTGCCTGGGTCATTCATCTCCCAGGATTGCAAAGCCCTCTCTGCTGCCTTTGCTGCAGCTCCCACCCACCAGGCTGGGCCAGGTGCACCGGGCAGCCCCAGCCCTGTGCCTCCTGAGCCCACACACGTCCCTTGGGCTGTCCCAGCAGCAGCTGCAGGTGACACTGCCTGGGCTTTTCTTTCTCTAAGGGAGAGCTGACGATTACATCCGAGATGGAAGAGCTGTCAAACGCTCTCTTCTATGACAACGTTCCAGAATCATGGACACGTTATGCCTACCCCTCCCTCCTCACCCTGGCCAACTGGTACGCGGACCTGCTCCTGCGGATCAGGGTGAGCAGAGTGCGTGTGACTGCCAGAGCCTGGGCTGCCCAGGACTCTCCCCACCAGTGCCCTGCTGTATTGGTAACTGATTTATTTCTCAGAGTTAATTTAACCAGCCTGAAGTACCTGAAAAGGGCTGTTACTCCAGGAATGGGAGCACAAGTCTGACCAGGGTTCCCATTACAGTACATTACTGTAGCAAAACAACATCAGCCCCCCCCACCCCCCATTACAACCCTGGGTGTCCCATAAGAAATACTAATAAAACTGGCTTTGTTAAAAAAGAGCAGCAGCATTTTCTGCACTGTGAATTCAGGGTTTCAGCTTCATTGCTGCAGGGGAATCTGCTGCTTATTCCTCCCACACCACCTCCAGCCAGTCTCCATTCTGCAAGATCAGCTGAAGCTTGGCTTACACACAGCAAAGCATCAGCTCTGCCACAGTGTCCTGCAGCTCACAGCACGCCCTCCACCCTAAAGGACTCTGCTGGTTTATTTTCCAGGAACTGGAAGTCTGGTCAACAGATTTTGTGCTGCCTGCAACAGTGTGGCTGGCGGGATTCTTCAACCCCCAGTCCTTCCTCACAGCCATCATGCAGTCCACAGCCAGGAAAAAGCAGTGGCCACTGGATAAGATGTGTCTGGCAGCGGATGTGACCAAGAAAACCCGCGAGGAAATAACATTTCCCCCTAGAGAAGGCTCCTATGTGCACGGGCTGTTCATGGAAGGTAAAATCTGCATCTCTGAGGTGTTTCAGACACGGAGCAGGCCCAGCTCAGCCCTTCTCCCTCGAGCAGTGTCAGCACTTGCTGGCGGCAGCTCAGAGCAGGGAGCCCTGGGTGCACCTGGGTCCATCTGGGTGCCCCTGGGGCCCGGCTCAGCCGCCAGCTGAGGGCAGCACTGCCCGGATCACACAGCCTTTCCAAACCAGAGATTTGTGTTTCAGCAATTCAGGCTGCAGCTCATGAACCCCAGGGCTCCTGGAGCTACAGGGCTCTAGTGAATACATACGTCACATTCTTAGTTGAGGCTTGAGTAAGACAAATTGAGAAACTTAAATCCACGATAATTACTGCTAATGAGAGGGAAGGAGGCAGTTCAGCAGAGCAGCTGAGGGGTCCACTTGGACAAAAGCAGAGAGCACACAGGACAGCATGTGACAGATCCCAGCACGACCAGTTCACCTTAAACTCCGCAATGCCCACATAAAGCCGTGCTGAAGGGAGGGGTGGGGACAGAATTTATTCAGACATCCCACACACAGTAAGGCAAATGCAGTCGTGGGTCACAGTGAGATGAGAACAGGTCAGAGCTAACCCCCATTGAGCCACTCCACCCACCCTTACCCCGGCGCAGCGCGGGGAGCAGTCAGTGTCTGTAGGTCACTGAGGGGAGCAGTCAGTGTCTGTCAGTGTCTGTGAGTGACTGAGGGGAGCAGTCAGTGTCTGTCAGTGTCAGTCACTGAGGGGAGCAGTCAGTGTCTGTAGGTCACTGAGGGGAGCAGTCAGTGTCTGTAGGTCACTGAGGGGAGCAGTCAGTGTCTGTCGGGCACTGAGGGGAGCAGTCAGTGTCTGTCAGTGTCAGGCACTGAGGGGAGCGGTCAGTGTCTGTCGGGCACTGAGGGGAGCAGTCAGTGTCTGTAGGTCACTGAGGGGAGCAGTCAGTGTCTGTCAGTCACTGTGGGGAGCAGTCAGTGTCTGTCAGTGTCAGGCACTGAGGGGAGCGGTCAGTGTCTGTAGGTCACTGAGGGGAGCAGTCAGTGTCTGTAGGTCACTGAGGGGAGCAGTCAGTGTCTGTCGGGCACTGAGGGGAGCAGTCAGTGTCTGTAGGTCACTGAGGGGAGCAGTCAGTGTCTGTCGGGCACTGAGGGGAGCAGTCAGTGTCTGTAGGTCACTGAGGGGAGCAGTCAGTGTCTGTCGGGCACTGAGGGGAGCAGTCAGTGTCTGTAGGTCACTGAGGGGAGCGGTCAGTGTCTGTCGGGCACTGAGGGGAGCAGTCAGTGTCTGTCAGTGTCTGTCGGGCACTGAGGGGGGCAGTCAGTGTCTGTAGGTCACTGAGGGGAGCAGTCAGTGTCTGTAGGTCCCTGAGGGGAGCAGTCAGTGTCTGTGAGTGACTGAGGGGAGCAGTCAGTGTCTGTCAGTGTCTGTAGGTCACTGAGGGGAGCAGTCAGTGTCTGTCAGTGTCAGTCACTGAGGGGAGCGGTCAGTGTCTGTAGGTCACTGAGGGGAGCAGTCAGTGTCTGTCGGGCACTGAGGGGAGCAGTCAGTGTCTGTAGGTCACTGAGGGGAGCAGTCAGTGTCTGTCGGGCACTGAGGGGAGCAGTCAGTGTCTGTCGGGCACTGAGGGGGGCAGTCAGTGTCTGTAGGTCACTGAGGGGAGCAGTCAGTGTCTGTAGGTCACTGAGGGGAGCAGTCAGTGTCTGTCGGGCACTGAGGGGAGCAGTCAGTGTCTGTAGGTCACTGAGGGGAGCAGTCAGTGTCCATAGGTCACTGAGGGGAGCAGTCAGTGTCTGTCGGGCAGAGGGGAGCAGTCAGTGTCTGTCGGGCAGAGGGGAGCAGTCAGTGTCTGTCAGTGTCAGTCACTGAGGGGAGCAGTCAGTGTCCGTCAGGCACTGAGGGGAGCAGTCAGTGTCTGTCAGTGTCTGTCGGTCACTGAGGGGAGCAGTCAGTGTCTGTCAGTGTCAGTCACTGAGGGGAGCAGTCAGTGTCCGTCAGGCACTGAGGGGGGCAGTCAGTGTCTGTCAGTGTCAGTCACTGAGGGGAGCAGTCAGTGTCTGTAGGTCACTGAGGGGAGCAGTCAGTGTCTGTCAGTGTCAGTCACTGAGGGGAGCAGTCAGTATCTGTCAGTGCCAGTGCCCGAGCGCTGTCCCCGCTGTCCCCGCAGGCGCGCGCTGGGACGTGCCCTCGGGCTCCATCGCGGACGCGCGCATGAAGGAGCTGACGCCCGAGATGCCGGTGATCCTGCTCAGAGCCATCCCCGTGGACCGCATGGACACCATCAACGTCTACGAGTGCCCCGTCTACAAGACACGGACGCGAGGGCCCACCTACGTCTGGACCTTCAACCTGAAGACAAAAGAAAAAGCTGCCAAGTGGGTCCTGGCTGGTGTGGCTCTGCTCCTAGAGGCCTAGATTTAGTGACAATGGAAAACAGCAGTACTTTTAGTTGTAAAAACCTCCCCGTTGTGTAACTCAGCCTATGTTTGATTGTAGCAGAACCACTTTAGCAAAGTTTCAATAAAACCAGTGCTGGAAGCGCTGCCGTGAGGAGCCTGCTCTCGCAGCACACAGGGTTCTCAGGGCGGATACTGGTTTTCCACTGGTGGTTTCTGACGTGGTGCTGGTGGGGAGCCAGACCACCGTGGGAAGCCAGACAGAACAACTGCACACAAGTGCCTGACTCCTTTGCCTCTGCTGGCTCTCCATCTTCCCACAGCTCTTTGTGTGATGGCTCAGTGCAAACTGAGCAGAAACTCCTCAAGCTCCTGCATGGAGCATCTGTCTGTCTAGAGCAGATGGGAGAAGAAAGGTGCAGATTTGGTCCAGTTCACCCACACCCAACCTGCACAGCCCAGAGCTGCAAACAGGCTCCTCTCTGAAGTATGTTATTTCTATTTCTAGGGCACAGAACCTACTCAGCCTTTTCTTCACAACAAATAATTTGTATCAGCAGTAACACACGTTAAGGTGAGTAGATCTGCCAAGGCTGGTCCCTTTGGCATAAAACAATTCACCAAAATCCCAGCCTGTGAAATATTTGAACAATTAGTTCTAAAATAGTTACCTCAAACTTCCCTCACAGCTCACAGTCAGACAAGCCCCAGAGAGCAGCTCATTTCATTACAGAGCAGCAGTATTTATAATCAGTTATGACCGAGTTTCACACTTACTATCAGTTTTTTTCAGGTGCCAGAAATCCTGCTTGTGGCACTGCCAGATCAGAAACCCTTGCTCACACCCTACCCTGCACTCCCACACCTTTTTACCTGGCTTCCAAACACCTTCCTGGCAGGATGTTACTGTTCAAGCCTTCTACTTCCAGCAAGGAACATCCCAAACCCACACCAGCACCAGAAGTCTTCTCCTGCCCTTTCACAATTCAGGAAATACACTTATAACATATCTGACTGTGAAGGAGCCAGGCAAACCCTGCTGAGGGGGAGGCCATGGCCAGGTAAGTGAAAGGGATGTGGGAACACCTGGCACACATACAGCAGTGCCAGCTGCACAGACTGCCCAGCACAGGAACAGGCAGGAGGGACAGCCTGGAGCTCCCAAGGGCTGGACTCATGGGGCAGTGGAGCCACCAGGAACCCCAGGACACCACAAAACAGAAAAGCAAAACCAACACTACAGGGGCAAAGCAAAGCCCTGACTGGATACAAAGACAAAACATTTTAAGTATTCCAGCAATGCTTTCTATTGGCTGGTCAAGACAGCATAAACACAGCCTCTCTCTGCAAAACTCTGAAAGAGACATTTCAAAAAGGGAGCTTTTATTTCCATGCATGGAAAATACCACTTTATGGGTTCTCTGCCAGTGGCCCTTCCAGAAATTCTAGTAGACAAAACCCAGTCAGGACCTGAGCACTGATCCCAGTCCATGGCAGCCAGTGCCCCAGAGGAATCGAGAAATTCTGGTTTTCCCCCCATCATCTGCATGTCCATGAACTAATTGTTCAAATCTTTCTTTCATGACAGAGCACTGCAGCTATTCACTACAGTCAGTGCAATATAATCCCCCATAATGGCAGCAAACTCACCCAAAGCAGCAACTTTTCTCCTTTCAAAAGAAATTCTTGATCAAAGGTGTCACCAGCTTCACCCACAGTTTCACGTAACGACTTGGCTGCTCAAACGTTGATGTTGAGACCACACCTGAGCAGAGGTAAAGCTGCTCTTGCTCCTGAACAGGGAAAGAAACATCATCTCAGTAAATCCCATGTGTTAAATTATATAATGGTCCTTCAGAGAAGCAAACTCAGATAAAGCTGACCAGGGATCTTGCCACAAGTATGCACCATTCTTCCTAAGAATTTGCAATTAAAACTCTACAGAGAACAAGGGTAGAGGGTTTTGCCTTTTTGTGCCCCACAGCTGCATGAGCTGAGCTTCAGTTTCAGAAAACTCCTCAAGGCCAGGCTGTAATTGCCAGAAAAGGAAACCTCACCCAAACCTCCTGGGACTGGCTTATGCGGCTCTTTCTAGACACGGCTCAGGCGCCGCGTTTGCAGATGAATGTGCAGCCGTGATCTCAGCTAAATTACCAGAAACTCCCGGGCCCCCCAGCCTGCACCCAACTGCACAGGAGGAAATGAACCACCCTGCTGATAACAACACTCACAGCACGTGAGAGCAGCGCTTTGATCACAGGTAAGTGGGGGTTTCAGCACAAACACTCAGGTTTCAGGATCTGCAGGCAAACAAGGAGCAGAACAGCTCCTGGAAGTTTGTTCATCATCTTTTTTTATAATTGGAGCTGTCACAAACAGCAGAAAATACTCTGCACTATTTAAATTCAGGGTGGAACAGGGAAGCAGGAACCAAGTACTGGAAAGTAACACTAAAAAGATGAATCAAGACATTAATCTGCCAATTCACTCTAATTTGAGAGCCCTCAAATGCTGAAAGAGCTACAGTCAGCCCTGCTGTGAGGATTCTGCTCCATGACCATCCATTATGGTGAGATCTGAGCACCAGAGGCAAGGCCAGTTCCCTGAATCAATCTCAGTTCATTCACAGAAGCACCCAAAGATACCCAGACCACTCACATTTCTTCCCAAATCTCAGCACACATTTTTAAAATGGAACTGAACATTACACAGGCAAAGTGATTTCATGGCAGCATCCCAGGAATGGATTAAGTCTTCTAAAAAAGACCACAGAAAGTAAACACCCAGCCCATCTCAGAATCAGCTTCCAGCAATCGGGAATGGTTTAAAGCCCTTTGAATGAGATCACTGCAGCCCCGTGTGAGAAAATTCCTTTGTGTCACATTTCCATTGATTTTCCCCTTCCATTAGAAACAGGCAGAGGCAAGATATGAATTGAAATACTCAAGCAACTCTTCCAGTAATAGAATTGTTTTTGATTAGATACACTCTGACTCATCCCAGGGAAGAGCCCTGATGCAAGAGGGCAATTCCCATTGATCTTGCAGACAACTCTGCCAGCACCTGCCTCTCACAGTGCATTTCTGAGGTCTCCAAGTCACACAGAGGCACCAAACATCTGCTTTGAAACAGAACACTGCAGGAGAAATGACTTAGGACGGTCAGTTCCAGCAGAAGATTCAGTCAAGACAGCTGGAGAACCAGGCAGGACACGGAGCAGCAGCAGAACTGCTGAGCATTACAAGCTGCCTAATTAAAAACAGCACAGAAAAACCCTGGGACATTGAATATCAAACCACTTAAAAATGTTTGTGCAAGATTATATAATGTCATTATTATTCAAGATAAGGATTTTGTCATAGAACCCCATGGGCGTCCCATCCCTCTTGCAGTCCGAGCTCAGCCATTCCAAGGGCCCGGCCTCATTAGCCCGGAGCCTGCCGTGCCCTGGGCAATGCTCAAATGCTGGGTTAAGGCTCACAGGGGCAGCGTGGCTGGAGCAGAGGAGCCAGCAGGTCCTCCAAAGGCTGTGTGCACATCCAGCCCTGAGCACTCCCAGTACCCGAGGTCACTGGGGACACACATTCCTTCCCGTTACGGCCTCATTTCCCAGCACTGGGCACTTGCAGCAGGCAGCTCATCAATAGTCACTTCACTGACAGCTCCTCAGGACTCCCCATGCTCCAGCAGCTTCTGAGTTATTGTAGCTGGAGGTTTTTATTGCCACTGCATCCTCAGCATTCCCTGTGTGCTCCAGGAGTACAACATCCCCCCTGCATCCCCAGAATCTGCTGCTTACCTGATGCAGCTGCTGCTGCAAGGCTTTATTTTCTGTCACTATTGCAACCTGAGCTTCCAAGTCACGATGAACCGATCGATATCCGAAATTTGGAGAGCCAATCAGGGTCAGGCAGGGCAGGTCACTCCCTGCCAGGTACAGCCAGAGGCCTGCAGGAAAAATGAGGAAGAGAGGCAGCGTGAGAGCCAAGGGAATGGCCAGGGTGGGCTCACACGGTCCGTTCACTCAGAGTGAATTAAATGCTTTAAATGTGGATTACAGATTCTGCACAGGAGCTCGAGAGCAGAGAGTAGCACAGCAGGGCCTGCAGGAGTGCTCTGCTGTGTGCAGTGTGTGCCATGTGTGGGGTGCCCTGGCACAGCCCAATTTAGTGTTCTGACTGGGTGCAACACCCCCAGTGTGCCCCAGAAACACACTGCCCCAGAACAACCCAGAGCAAGTCCTGTCATTGCATTAGAGGCTGTTTTGCACCACAGTGAATTCAGAAACACCAAGAGAAGACAAACAGGTTTTCAGTGAAGGAACCAGCCCCAAAGTCCCAGCCAGACAGGCTAAGTCTGTCCAGCCTGTCCCAGGGCCAGGGACCAGCCCCCATCCCAGGACCATGGCACAGAGAGGCATCTCCCAGCTCTGGCAGGTGAATTCACATGCCACTGTGAAGAGACACAGATAAGAAGTGCAAATTATTTCACACCCTCACTTCCAGAGGAGCCACCAGGAATGAGATCAGACTCTTGCCAGGGCACCTGGCCCCCACTGCCACTGACCAACACAGCTCCCACAGCACTGCCAGCACAGAGATCAGGACAGAGCCCAGGACAGGTTTTCAAGGGAAAGATGGAAGCATCACATTATTCTCAAGCACATCACTGCAGCAGGGCAAGAAGGAACAGCCACAGCAGAATCAGGACTGCTGCCAAGGAGAGGCTGTGTGGCCACTCTGCACAAATGGAGCCAGAAAGCCTTTGCTCTCCTCAGCAGAGCCCTGGGTGAGTCTCTGGTAGAGGTTCATCCCCATGCCTGGTCACACACAGACTGCAACAAAGAACCCGTAGCATAAAAACCACCTCAGCCTTAAAATAGCAGCAGGTTTCCCAACTCAGCCCCAGAGCAGTTCCAAGAATGCCTTGAGTAAGATGCTGCCGATTCACTGCCAGTTCCTGTAAGCTGCTCCCCGCCCCCACAGCACACTCACAGAGCTGGCACTGCCCTGATGCCTCCAGCCCTGTGGGCTCACCCCAGCACAGCAGGGCTGCACAGCCCACCACGGGCCCTGGCAGCCACGTGGCACAGAGCTTTGTCACGTTCTGCCACCAAACAGGACCTGCCAGGGGCTGTCTGGTGCCTGACCGGCCAAAGGCTGGACCCCTGCCCAAGCAGCAGCCAGGAGGAACAGATTCCTTGCCTTCCCAAGTGTCCTGTGGCAGTCCCACAGCCTTTAGAGGTCTCTGGTTTCACGGCCATCTGGCAGGATCTGCTCCAACAGTGACTCACCTTCCAGCAAGGGGAGCGCAGCTTCCCAGCGCCGGTCAATAGCAGTGACAGGGTTTATCTCACAGCACACAGCACCTGCCAGCACCCTGCCACCACAACGGGCTTGGGAGGGACCCTGATCCCAAGGGATGCACCCCTGTCACCCCCAACACCACCCAGGGCAGCGGCAGGTGGGCTTTGGGAGGGACAGCTGCTGGCAGTCCTGCTCAGACGTGCACCCCACCTGTGCAGAGCTCTGCCACACCTGCATGGGCACCCATGAGAGACATCCCGGGGAGACACTCTGCATGCAGAGACAAACATGTTAAGGGGAGCAGGAGGGGTGTGCAGCACAGCCCCAGTGTTTGGGGATCCCATGGGAGACTCAAGGATGTCTCATGTCTCAGCCCAGAGAGGAAGCACCAACAGGCCCTGTTTGCTGCTGGCAATCTCATGTCCTCAGCCAGGAGCTAGGCTCCATGTGCTCCTTGTGCACATGCCCTTCACATCTCCAAGGCTTCCTCCCTTCCCTCTCCTGTCCTTGTCCTCTCTGCCACACCACGTGACTCCTGCAGAAGGAAATGAGGTGAATCCAGCCTGTGCCAAGGGCAGAGCACGCCGGAGGAGGAGCTGCACACTGATCCTCCCAGCACTCTGAAGGGGACTGGAAACAAGGCAGCAAATGTCTCAAACTGTCCCTCCTGCAGCACTGAGCTGCTGAACTCCAACCCTGCATCCCTCTCCAAGCAAACAGCACACAGCAGAGAGCCCAAAGCACTGTCCCACAAGGGCTAGCTGGCCCAAACAGCACCAGTGACCACTTTGGTAGCTGGGAAAAGCAGCCCCTGTTTCTGGTTCATGCCAAACCACATCCCATGGGAGTTAGCAGTGCTCAACAAAGGCAGAACCTGGGAATCACAGATTGCTCAAGCACGTGCATGCTGAAAGACACAGGACACCCAGGGCGGGCAGGCAGGGCCCTCCCTCGTGCTGTGCCAGATAAGGGCTTTCCCTGCACTCCTGGCCGTGCTGGGGAGGGGCACTCTGAGATCTGTTTGTCATTTCAACACCGAGGCACCCAGGGATTTTCGACAGTCGAGAGAGGGCTGACTGGGCAGCTTTTCCTCCCCACCACCTCTGAGCCTCCCTTGAGCACCCCTGTGAGAAGCAGGGGGATGGAGCCATTCCTACTAACAGCTCTCTTCAAAACAGGCATGGCCAGAGCCCTAGTGTTCCAATCACAGCCCAAACACTCCAGCTGGAGCACCATGCTGAGCCCATGGGAGCTGGGCACAGTGTATCCAGCAGGAATCCAGGCTCTCCCAGAGACCTCGAGGGCAGCATTCATTAACTGACTGCATGTTAGCCCATATTCCCCTTGCCCTTTGGCTGCCCTGACACCCATAAGCACATGCTGCAGCTCCTCACTCTGCACCCCCTGTGAGCTGGGAATGGGAGCTGGTGCAAATCCCCCAACACTGACACTGTCCCCATACAGACCTGCTGCTAGGAAGGCCCCAGGAGCAGCTCCCTCCCAGCACCTGCCCCCAGAACTGCTGCAGGGTCCCCAGCAGAGCCAGCACTCCTGCCTGCTGAAACCAGCCCAAGGGATACACGAAACTGCACCAGGGCACTGACTGCATCATAAACGCATCCAGATGGTTCCTTTCCTTCACATCACCCTTCTCATCCAGGCAGTGCTTCAGTGCCACCACAGGGACAGCTCCCACATCATCCCTGTGACAGTACTGAACCAAAGGCAAAGGCAAGGCATCCCCCAAGTGATCCAAACCTCCAGGTCACACAAGCACACTGTTTGAACCTTGGAGGAGTGTTTTGAAGGTCAAGCCCAGACTGGCACCCAGCCAGCCCCTCACTCCTTTCACAATCCACATGCACAGCTCTCACACACCTCTGAACAAGACCCCTGGGGATAAGGGCACCTTACCTTTGGCATGGAACGTCCAGCCAGCACGGGAGTACTCCTGCAGCTGCACCCTCTCCTGCTGCTGCAGGCAGCAGACCTCACTGTAAAACTGATGTTCAATGTAAACGTAGGCAGCCGGGATGGCACCTGCCACCCCTTTGGCACCAAAAAACCCATTGACCTCCGGCGAGGCCAGCAGGATGCGGTACTCGGCCCTTGTGCCCAGGATGAGGTCCATGTAGGCCTGTGTCAAGTTGAAGTAGCCAGTGGTGAGGTATATCCTGGCATCCCGCTCAGCCTCTGTCAGCAGGGTCTCTGTGACCATCTCGTCTATTTGAATCCCAAAAGGTTTCATTTGGATTAAGGGATAGATCCAGGTGTCGGGTTCTGGTTTCAGACTCCCAGGTGCTTGAGAGCCTTGCTGGGATAAGAGGGAGCTGCCTGGCTGGCTGCTGTGGAAAGTCTTTGCATGAAGGAGCTCCTGCCGAGTGCGGGCAGAGTTGATGACCTCCATGACCCTCCTGTTGGCAATCTCACAGTAAGCCACTTTGTCTCCTGCAGGAAAAGCCAGAGTGATGTGTCTGTGGTCTACAGGAACAGTTACACGTCACCTCTTGCCAGGGAAAACTACTGACAGCACATGGATACAGGAACAAACAGGAGCCAACACAGACTGCACATGACTCTCTGTCTTAAGGCCCAAACCAGCTGATCCAAGGTCAGCAGAGCTACACTACAGAAGAGAAATGCTCAGCAACTGGCAGCAGCCTGAGAAATCCTCTGAGAAAGGAGAGGACGAGCGCAAGGCTACACTGACAACCAAGAATGAGCTGGAACAAACAAATAAACTCCCACCCCCAGCCTGAACTTACATCACCCAGCAGTGCAAGGCCAGGACAAAAACTGATGACACAATCAGCCTGGCATTTCACTGCCCTTCTCTGCCCAATTTTACGCTTGTTCCCAGTCTTCCTGAACTGATTCCCATTTGATTCCCAGAACAAACTCTACTACAAAAGATTAATTACCAACAACAGCAGCACAGTCATAAACCCTTCAGAACATGCACGCCCAGAGCACCTGAAATTGTAGCTGCTAATATCAGAAAAACTTCTCAAAGGACTGAAGTTCTTGTTTAAGGCCAAAAGCAGCACATATATGAGGCAGCAGATTTACTTCCAGTCTCTGCATGCCCTGTCAAATCAGCCTGTGACAGCCATTGTGCTGGGAAAACCCCAAATGACCCAGTACTGAAACTCAAGCAATCTTGATTATAATACTGGATGGCACAAAACAGGACACCCCACAGCCTGAACAATGGTCAGACACCCAGCAACTCCCACATGGATGGAGTCTAAGTCATCCTTAAACCCTGGCCGTCACTCCTCTCCTCTGGATGCCATCACCCAAGCAGGTGAGACAGCTCCCACCTACCTTGGTATGGGTGTACCATTCCCTCCATCATCTGGACTGTATCATCCTGCTGTAACTGCAGGGACACATCTCCAATCGCGTCCACAAGCTCCGTGAAGAAGTCTGCAATCTCAGGAGAGTCCCGCAGCAAGACGTAGCGGTCCTGACGATTGGTGAAGTACAGATCACTCAGGTTTGCACTGAAGAAGAAGGGAAGACACAGGTTCAGAGCAGGCACAAGATTCTCAACCTCCCAAGCCAGGCTACAGGCCTCACTCTGGGATAGCTGCACTAAAGCACAAATTGGCCATTTCCTTCAGAATCTCAAAATATTTCTCCCGTTAAGAAAGGCTTGCTTTCATCTGAGAATCTCATGTGCAGGAGCTGTGGTTGCTCTCCCATCTCAGAAGAGCACTGATAGCACCACGGTGGAGCCCAGATGTTCAGACAAGGCTGGCAGCACAGACACCCTGCCCAAAGGCAGGGAACGCTGGCACCAAGGCTGGACGCAGCAGGACTCACCCGCTCAGGATCACGTTGTCATCAAACAGATAGACCTTGATGTGCTGCAGCCCGATGGTCTCGTTGAAACGCTCTGGAATCAGCAGCCGGAGCAGCCCACGCAGGTTTGGGGTGTGGAACAGGGACACGCGGACCTGCTCGGGAAATCGCTGCAGCAACGGGATCAGCATCGTTCGGGAATTCTTCCTGCCTGGGACAGAAAGGGACTTTCACACAAACATCACACAGACAGGACACATCATGACACAGCTCTTCAGCTGGTCACAGCGTGAGCAGCCCTCCCATCCACTGACACTTCACGTGTTTTCCTTTTCTCTTTGGTTTTTTTAGATCACTTTCACTTGTACTATGTCGATATTGAAAGTGACATTCAGAATCAGTCACAGGCCAGCTCTGACACTTTTCAAGCTTCTTAACCAAGCCTCACCAGGACTGGCAACACATCTACAAGAGTCACTGTAGATGACCACAGGTTCCTGATTCAGTGTGCTGCTGCTTCCAACAATTCCCATTCTCCTTTCAAAATGAAAATTAAGTGAGCACAATGGGTAAGGGCAAATGCATTAACAAATGAACCAAGCAAGACTACACAAGTTGCACAGAGTAGTTTGGTCCTTCTTGCCCCTACCACCTATTTTTGGAAGAAAAGCTGTTCAGCTTGAAGATTTTTTTGGGAATATGCAGTTCTGGAATACAAAAGGCCAATCCTGAAATGTGCATGCTTTAAGCAAGTAGGTCCAATTGGCCAAGATACCCACTCCGAAAAGAACTGTCTCTCCAGCCTAACAGTAAAATCAGGCTCTGACAAAAGCAATGAGTAGCAATTCCTACCCCGGGAACCCCTGGTGTAGTCGAGGAGAATGGAAACTCTGAGGTCGGGTGAGCCTTTTGCTTGCAGTGATTTCTCCAGTGTTTCTTCTAAGCAATACACCTGCAGAGAGAGTTCTCTCCTCATTAAAAAAGCAAATACACTTTCCAAGGGAAGTGCTCAGCAGCAGGAGACCAGGGCCAAGACAGCTCCCACACCCTGGTGCCAGTCCTTCCTCCTTGTGCCAAGCACAGCCACTTCAGCCTTTGCATCTGCCAGCCTGGCAGCCTCCATCAGCCTAAAGCCACAGATCAAAGGGCCTCAGTTTTACATGTCTACATTCTTCAGATCTCACAAGAGCAATTAATGTTCAAAGAAGAAGTCCCAATATCATTCCCAAATCACAGACTCGCATCACCAAAGACAAACATTGGCAGGAATTCACTGCAGTTTTATTCTTGAATTACAAGGTTGTTTGTCACATGCAAATTCAAATCCTGTGTGCAAGCCCAGACAAAGTTGGGCATAAATCCTATGCAGGCTCCATCCACCTTTACCCTGCCAGGGCATTTGCTTCCTAACATCAGAACCTGGCCAAGGCCAGGCTTCTTCCTCAAGCCCTTGGGCGAAAATGCTTTTGTTTCCAGAGGAAAGGAAAAAAAAAAAGGCAAATACCATGAAGCAAAGCTGATCTCAGTCTCAAATGCAAAAAAAAACAACCCTTCATCTGTGTCCTGCACCTGGAACACCAAACACAGCACAACACACCTACAACTCAAATCCCATTCAAGAAAAATTCCAGGGAAAAATAGATTTCCATGACCTGAGTTTTACAAAGCCCCCCTGAGCACTCTGAACAGCAGGCCAGTACTTTCTGACAGGTCCAGGCTAACTATCCCCTGAAGAATTGCAGCAGTTCCCTGGCTCTATACCAGACCTCAACCAGAAGCGTGCCGCCCTTGCACATCCCTCCCCTGCATTCCCCTCCTGGCCTTCCCAAACCCTTCCACACTCACCAGCTCCTGCTCAAGGAGTCCTGTTCCCAGGTACAGTGAGGCCATCACCACCCTCTGCTTGGCTGCTTTGATCTGCACCTGGGAGCAGCAAAACAGTTCCATTTCAGACAGGGTGTCTGGGCCTGAGGAGCCATCAGCCAGGCCTGGCAGTGCTGCATTTCCCTGGGAGGATGCCCTCAGCCACAGCTCTGCTCTGGCTCCCTGGCCCTGAGGGAGGAAAGGTAACACGTGGACAGTGGTGACATAAAACACACGGAGCTCTGCAGGGCCACAGCAGCACCACTGCTGCCTCCAAAACTGAAGGAAGAAACTTGTGCTTTCTGGGAAACTGAAGAGCACACTCTCTGCAGCTAAACCCATTCCATATGAGAGCAGTTACCAGGCAGCAGCTGCAAAACTGGGATTGTATCAAACCATTCCCACAAGTTGCAGCCCACACCTTACCTTGAGGAGTTCATAGAATTCCGCCGGGGATGAAAGCACCTTGACATGCGAGCTGGAGATCCCAAACTCTGGGACCAGATTCCTGATCCACTGGAACCTGTGTGCTCCTTCTGGACAGAGGGAACACGGGGGGGCTGTGATCACTGGAGCAGGAGGGCTGAGGAGTGGGGCTAGAAGGAGCCATGATGATCTGTGCAAAGAAAGATAGAGAAATGCTTTGTAGTGAAACTTCTGCTTCCCAGCAAGACCCCAAGCAGGTAGAGTTGCAGCCAGGGCCAATACATGGCAGGGATCCCCAAAGGCAAGAATGCCTTTCCCTTTCCATAATCTGATCTGGATCACCAAGGCCAAATGTAGAAACAGAGAGACACAGGCAAAATGTGGGAGAACAGATCTGAACATCACCAGCTCCTCCTCTGAGCTGGCATGGAGATGAGGGGAAACAACTGCTTCACCAGGACAACATGGGAGGGGAAGGAGGCCGGGAGCTGCAGAAAATGAGAGTGGGGATGCTCAGGTGTCTGGCAGTGCTGCACTGGTACCACCTGTACCTGTAAGCAGACACTTCTGAATTATCTCCATCACACACACATCAGCCAATGCTCCCTTTATGTCAGCTTTGTTCTCAGCTGCTTTGCAGTTCACGTTTCAGGTTTAAAGATCATGCTTTTTTAAAGAGAAAAATGCCTCCACTCCTCAATGTAATCGAAAAATAGATCTACAGCACACAAGGTGATCAAGTGCAAGCCCCAGTAAAGGCAGAGCAATGACCCCCCGAGAATGACCCGCAAAAGGAGCGACTGTCCCAGCAGGAATGTGCCAAGGGCCACAACAGGGATCCATCCCCTTCCAGCAATGCCACCGACAGAGGGTCACAACTTCCCCTGCAAACCTCACAAAAGGGGAGCTTTCCACTCGTTCCCTGTGAGGGAGACGTCAGGAAACTCATTCTTCAAAAAGAAATTTCGGAAGAAATTTAATTTCTTTGAAGTCACTTTGGGAAGAAACCAGCTTACTGCCAGCATCACGCAGCGGGTGACAGGAAGCAAGCATCGACTTCTCCTCTCCGAGGTTTCCCACATGCAAATTCATCCAGTCATAGAATAACCCCCGGCAGGAGTCTGCTCGCATGACAAAACCACATTTCAGCACAATTAGCAGCAGCAGCTCCCAGGAGATCCAGGAATCCATGAGCAAGGGACTGAACTGCATCCCTGGACCCACAGGGACCATTCCAGTGTGCAAACCCCACTGATGGGAGCCGGGATTCTTGGGAGGGAACTGGGCTGGCTGTCTCAGCCTGAGGACCACCAGGGCCCCGGGCCAGCAGGCAGCCACCGTCCTGTGGCCCATCCTGATGATCCCATCCCGACCATCACCACACACCAAGAGGAAACTTGAGCACAACCTTTACCAGAATTTGTTACGAGGAACTTCTGGCTTTTTACCACAATCCAGAGCCCAAATGAACACAGATTCCAGGAAGATGATTTCACTTATCTGGTTCATGATACAACACTGGATCTTCACAAGGTTTCCAAACATCCTTACAAGGAAACCAGTTCATAGTGGTGTTTCCTGGCAAATCCACGAGTTTGTCACTGACTATTCATGAGCACCAAAATCTGAGTCAGTCAGTGCAGGAATTCCTGGGATGGTGGGTTTCAACAGATCATGTGGACTGGGCTCAGCCTGAATACCCAGAAGTGACAGAGATCACCAGCACAGACTGTTAAAAACAGTACAAATATCCCCTAAAAGCTGCAGAAAAAAATTAAAGCAGAACAGAAACACAAGAAATACCACTTTTCAGGCACATTCTCCTAAGTCTCTACAGAACCTGAGCACAACCTTTACACACCTTTGCTCACCTCAAGCCTCACAGGCCACACACAGAGAGCAGAGTCCCTCTGTTCCATCTCTGCAAGGGAGCATGGCACACAGAGCTACAGGAATTCACACTGGATCCAGAAGCACAGGGTTTTAAAACCCACCCAATGCTCACCCCACAGAGCAGTGGCATCACTGGGCTCTAACCTAGCCCTGCAGGTCACAAACAACATCCTCTGGAATTATTCCCAGGTAGGAAGCAGTGGCAAATTTTATGTATTTTACAATAACAATCAACAAGAATAATATTGTCCTCATTATCCCATTGGCCAACCCAATTACCCTTCCAGAAGCCAGACCAGGGGCCAAGCAGACACTTTCCAGAAACACGGCTCCCAGAAGGCATTTTCTAGCAAGGATTGCTGGAACTGTGAGTCCAACTGCACCTGCCTCCCTGCCTGTGGCCCTGTACCTGCCTGCCCTGAGCCAGGGGCAGCTCCCAGGGCAGCTCTGAAGGCTGCAGGCAGCGATGGGTTGAGCTTGGAGCATCTGGACTGACTGGAACATCTGGAGGAACATCAGCCTGCAGCACCAGTACTACTTGGTTTGGTCCAGATTAATTCTGCATAGGTCAATTTATCCTCGCTAATTGCATCCTCCAGATTTTTCACTCCCTAAGTAATTTACAGTGTGTCAACATCGGTGTTTCAACCCAATACTGAAATTTACACCTTATTCAGCATTGAGAACCTATGGCTTTTAGAATTACCAAATAAATCCATATTTTGCTCCAGCCACAGAGCCACTGGCAGAGCAACTGGCTCCCAGAGCAGCAGCTTCTACCCACCAGTGACTGACATCAGCTCAGTGACAACCCAGTACAACCAACCCTTGCAACCACGCACACACAACTATCAGAAACCATGTAACATTATGAAGAAATCATCAAAATTCCACACTGTGACAAAACAGGTTTCAGAGGAACAGAAAGTGAACTAGGGGAGAGCCTTTCCACGTACTTCACATCACTGAGTTAACCAGAAAGAGAAAACGGAATCAAAAGGAACCACCTCAGACCCCTTCTGAATAAAAAGTTTACCCTAAATAGAAACAACGGATTTTCTGAGGTATGTTCTATTTTTTAAAACGTAGGTTTGGTACGAAACTCACAATGCAGCTGAAACCCCTATTCACTGTAAAACCTCATCCTCAGAGCCGGAGGTGAAGTGAAACTGCGGGACACAGCGCTGTCCTTTCACCCACACACAGCAGCACACGGGGGGATCCACAGCGCTGCTGTCAGCTCAGCGATTGCTTTCCAGGCCTCAGCCGGATTTATCTGCCCTAAAAGCACTGGCGAGACCACAAGAGAAGTGTGGCAAGAATCTCCTTGGTGTGAACAAGAGGGCAGACTGATGATCCAGCTCGTCCAGGAGGGCGGTGACAGCCGCTGGCGGGTCCCTGCCGCCGGTCATTGTCACTATCACTGTCACTATCCCTGTCACTATCACTGTCACCGGTGCCAGCCACCGGGCACGGCCGCGGGGCACAGCGGGCCCTGCCCCTCACGGCTCCTGCCCCTCACGGCTCCCTGCCCACGGGCACAGAGGGGGCTCACTCCTGTTTCGGCCCCGTCCCGCTCGCCCTCCGCGACCACCGGGCCCGGGGGGACTGAGCCGAACACACAAACCCGGCCGGTGCCGCCCCGAGGGCTGAGCTGTGACAGCCGCGGGGACAGCGGGAGGCACGGGAATGGGAAATGGAGGGGAAATAACGCTCAGCTGCTGTCCCGAAGGCGATCGGACACTGGGGCGAGCTGCAGGGGTCTGCGAGAGCAGAGCCGAACCCGGCTGCGACCCCGGCCTGGGGGTACCGGGCCGCCCCTCAACCCACGCGGCTCTTCCAAGGGGCTGGGCCGGGCCGGAAAGGGGAAGCAGCGAGCGGGGGATGCCCCGGTAACGCGACACCGACTGCGGGGGCGGCCGAGGGCTCCCGCTGCCTCGCAGCCCCGGCGGGGTCCCGGCCGGTCCTTACCTGCGGGCGCGGCGGTCGCGACCGCGGGAGAGGCGGTCGGAGAGGCGGCCGAGCAGCGCGGCCAGGCCGAGGCGGCCCCGCGGCAGCCAGGCCGAGAGCCGCCGCCACAGCGCCGCGCCGCCCGCCGCCATCGCCCGCGCCTTCCGCTTCCGCGCTGCCATGGCGACACCGCCTTCCGCTTCCGCCCCGCCCGGGCCCGGCCCGCGGCCCCCGGGAGTCCCGGCCCGGCCGCGCGGGGTGTCCGCCCTTCCCCGCCGTGCCCGGCCTACGAGCGCGGAGCCCGCGGAGGGCCGGGGAGGCTCCGGGAGGAGCGCACGAAGGGCTCGTTGTCCGGCGGGGCCGCGCCGGGGCTCCCCTGGTCCGCACACGTGGGACGGGCTCACGCGGAGCCGGATCGCCTGCCCGGCAATGTCACCCCCCCCGTCTCCTCTCCCCCCAGGGCTGAACGGCTGAACGGCTCCGAAAAGACGTACATGGTTCTTGCCCGCGGTGGAACCGGCGTTCGCCGCCCCGCCGGGCCAGGCACAGTCTGGGGACCGCGGGTCCCCCCGCCAGGGTCCCCCCCCCATTCCGGGGAGCCGGTCCCGGCGGGGAGCCCCGGAGCCGCGTCGGGCCCGTCCCGTCCCTCCCCCGCTAGCTCTGCCCGCCCCGGCAGCGCTCCGGGGCTCGTTTGCATTTCAGAGCAGCCGGTTCGCCGGCGCTGATTCCCAGAACTGCCGCACTGGGTTGGTCTCTGCCGGGCAGCGGCCGCTCCTCCGGGGCAAATTAAACAGTTTAAAATAAACCCACGGACAGAGCTCGGGTTGTGTGCGAGCTCGGAACCAACAATTGCCAAACGGGTGGGGAGGGGAGCTCCGGCGCCGCTCCTCCCGCCGGGCACCGTCCCCACCGGGGCTCGGGCCGAGGACCCGGGGCGGGGTGGAGGGATGAGGAGCCCCCGAGCCCTGGGGAGCTGCCACGGGCAGGGTCCCCGGTTCTGCCGGGCCCCCCACCAGCCCACACGTCCCGCAGACCGGCCAAAGCACCAACCGCGCGGATCTCCCGGGCTCCCGCAGCCTCCGCCGCCCGAAGCGGAGCCGGGAGCCCCCGTACAGCCCCGGGCGCGGATTCCCCCTTGTCCCCGGCCCGAGGGTATCCCGCGGGTCCCCTAGGAAGCGCGGCCGAGGCTGGCCTTGCACGGGAATCAGGGCTGGGAACGTGGGACCGGCAGCCCCCGCTCCGTGTACCCCCGGTGTACCCCCGGTGTGCCCCCCATCAGCCGAGCCCAGCCTCTCGCCAGGGCGGGCCCGCGGCCCGGCTGCCCCAGCAGAGCGGGGGGCGGCGAAGGCCCCCAGGGGCCGGTCCGGGGCTCTCCGCTTCTCCGCAGGCCGCGGGCGGGGGTAGCCGCCCTGCCCAGAATGGGCTGTCGGGGCCGGGCCGGAGCGGGAAGGGCCGGGGCTGGGCCGCTGGGGCCAGGCCGGGGGCCCGGGGCTGGCAGAGCGGGGCTGGCGGGGCGCCGGGGGGCCGGGCCGGGCCGGGCCGGGCGGGGCGCGGGCGGTGCCGCCGCGTTACAAGAAGCCGCGCAGTTCCAGGAACCCGAGGGCGGGCGTTGCGCCTGCTATAAGAGGCCGCCCCGGGCCGCCTCGGCAGCTTCGCCGCCGCGCACCGGCCCCGCTCTGCCGCCAGGACCGGCTCCCGCGCCCCAGGTACGGCCGCGGGAGGGATCCCAGAGAGGACGGGGGGACAGCGGGGATGCCGGGACCTTCGGGGGGGGGGGCGATCGCCGAGGACCGGCGATGGCGGTGCTGCCCAGGGAAGGGGATCGCCGGGGATGTTGGTGCCTCAGCGGGGCGATAACCGGTGGGCTGGGGTAACGATGTGCCCCCGGGCGTGAGAGAGCAGGAGACCATCAGAAGCGGTGCTCTAGAGAGGGGAGAGAGCGGGAGACCGCAGGTGTGCCCGTGCTCCCGGGAAGGAAGAGCTGGCACGGGGGTGCCGGTGTCGCGGGAGGACAGTCGCCGGGAACGGGGGCTGCCGGTTCCCCCGTTCGGAAGGGAGAGCCGGGGATCGGTGCTGCCGGTTCCCAGGAAGAGAGAGCTGGGCAGGGGGGCTGCCGGCTTTTCTGGGAATGAGAGCTGGGGAAGGGGATTGCCGGGAACCGGCAGCGCTGCTGCTGCGGGAGGATAACAGGGACCGCGGGGGTGCAGGTGTTCGGGAGGGAGAGTCGGGGACCGGAGTGCCGGGACTCACCGCTCTCTCTGCCGCAGGTGATGGTGTAGCAGCGGCTGCTGCTGGCAGCAGCATCCAGAGCACACGAAGCTGGCTCCCTGCGCCATGGTCACCCACAGCAAGTTCCCCGCCGCCGGGATGAGCCGCCCCCTCGACACCAGCCTGCGCCTCAAGACGTTCAGCTCCAAGAGCGAGTATCAGCTGGTGGTGAACACCGTACGCAAGCTGCAGGAGAGCGGCTTCTACTGGAGCACGGTGACAGGTGGCGAGGCCAACCTGCTGCTGAGCACCGAGCCGGCTGGCACCTTCCTCATCAGGGACAGCTCGGACCAGAGGCACTTCTTCACCCTCAGCGTCAAGACGGAGTCGGGCACCAAGAACCTGCGCATCCAGTGCGAGGGCGGCAGCTTCTCCCTGCAGAGCGATCCCCACAGCAGCCAGCCCGTGCCCCGCTTCGACTGTGTGCTCAAGCTGGTCCATCACTACATGCCACCCACACCCTGCGCCGTGCCCGAGCAGCCTGGGGGGGCCCTGCACCCCAAGCGCACCTACTACATCTACTCGGGTGGCGAGAAGATCCCCCTGGTGCTGAGCCGCCCGCTCTCCTCCAGTGTCTCCACCCTGCAGCACCTCTGCCGCAAGACCGTCAACGGGCACCTGGACTCCTATGAGAAGATGACTCAGCTGCCAGCCCCCATCAAGGAGTTCCTGGACCAGTATGATGCCCCTCTCTAAGGGGCCAGCGGAGCAAGGTCACATGCTACAAGCACAAGAGCAGGGGACAGGCACAATGCCCCACCGGCACAGGCGCTGGCAGGGCATGCCCAGCCTCTCCATCCGGGAAGGAGAGAGGGGGAACTGGGGCAAGCTGCCACGGGCCCGGGGCTGTGGCCAGCATAGCTGGGCACCCTTGGTGCTGGGGGGACTCCTCATCAAGTATGACGCCTCCTCTCCACGGGGAAGAAGATGGCTCCGACCAGACTGTGGATGTTACAGTGAACCCATGGCAAAGCCCCTGTGGGCTTGGGCAGTCAGGACAGCTCCCACAGCACGGGGGAACATGTGCCCCACCAGCCCCATCCTGGGGGTGTCCTGGTGAGAGCCCCTTCCACCCTGAGAAACGGAAAGCACTGGAGCCCAGGAGTGCCTGATCACTTTTCCTCAGTTTTAAGGGGAAGGTGTTTTTTGCCCATACTGTACCTCTTGCTGCCTCCTTGTGGGTGAAAGCTCCTTTCACATTAAGCCCCAGACTAAGAGGTCGATGCCTTTGCCCCGCGTTGCCATTTTCCAGGGGACTAAGCCTTAATATCCCCCCTGCCTGGCGGTCTGGGTTAGTGCACTTCAGCTGGTGAGCTGCAGTGATGGTCCTGCTGATGTGCTGTGAAGCTGGAGGGGAAGCGATGCTGCTGAGTCCCACACAACCGCATCTGCAAGGATCACCCTGAGGACGCTGGGCCCCCACTCCCTGCAGTCACACCCCACCTCTGCCCGGCCGCTCCCGCAGACCCTGGCTGGGCTGCTCTGCAGGGCACCAATTCCTGCAGGAGGGCAGCAGGACCGTCCCCTGGAGCGTGTCATCTCGTGAGTGCTTTTCTGCATCCGCCCAGAGAAGTGGTTGGGTTTTCTGGCTTTTTTTAATTTTTATTCTTATTTTTTTAACCGAAGGGATGTTTACAGGCCAACGTGAATCACTGTCTTTTATAAAGATTCCATCTTCACCTCCAGCCTTGAGGGCTGAGCAAAAAAATGCTTGAAAATTCAACCAAAACCAAACTCAGATGAAACTTTGCACATATTTATATTTATATTCAGAAAGAAAATGTTTCCATAATTTATAATAAAGAGCACTATTTTTTAATGAAAACCATCAGATTTGGTTTGATTTCTCTCTTGCACGCCCGAGGCCGCTTGGCCCCGGCACAAGGCACAATGCTGGGATGTGTTTACACCACGTAAGCACCGTTTCCTGGAGCCGCTGTCCACGCCGGGTGATCCCGCCGGTGACTCAGCCCGGCTGCTGCGTAAGCTCTGTCCCAGCACTCAGGTATGTCTGAGCCCTGTGACGTCCCGCCTGCCGAGCCGCGAGGATGGGATCTGCTCACACGGTGCAGCCACGGCACAGCAGACATGGCCCTGGGCACAGGAGGGGCTGAGCTGGTGGCCAAGGCTGGCCCGTGGCACAGCCCCAGTGCAGGGCTCCTGAAGGGCTGAGTGAGTCCTGCCTCCCCCAGCCCTGTTTTGGCACACGCCAGGGTGAGGAGCTGCAGGAGCAGGGCACTTTGAGGCGTGGGTAGGAAAGGGTCTGTAGGTGCTCCCTCTGGGAGCGTAGCGGGCTGCCAAGACACTGCTCACCCCCACAGCACTGAGAGAAAACCTCTGTCCTGTGCAGAGCCCCAGCCAGGCACACATGCCCAAGGGAGAGGAGAGGATTCAATTCTCCTGGGGCTGTCCTTGGCCCCAGAAATGCCTGTCCTCCACTGCTAGGAGCATGACGTAGGCATGGGAATAAACCTGCAGTTCCGTCTGGCTGGTGCACAGTGCAGTGCCTGGCTGAGGAGCTGGATGCAGGGATGTGGGTGATCCCCTGGGAGCAGGTCAGCCCCCCAGAATTCCCCAAGAGCCCCTGCCTGTGAGGAGCAGGCTGTGCCAAGGTGCTTTGTGCCCAGGCCCCAGTCTGCAATCTCCACACTGCAGGCATTCTGCCTGGCATCAGGAGCAGTGCTCCCGCCCCCGGGGATCCCCAGCTGCTGGGAAAAGGATTTCCTTAGGAATCAGCCTGGACCAGAGGGATGGTGAGTGTGCCGGTCCAGGCTGTGGGCATGGCACAGTACCAGCGGCTATTCTGGGGCCACCACGTGTGGCTGTGGCACGCGTGCTGCCAGCAGTGCCACGGCCTGCCCAGGCACCCGCTGCAGCTATGCAAGGAATGCCCACGCGCAGGGGTGGCCGCCTG